ATGGTGCAATGGTACCCGTTTGTATCAAGTGATCAGACCACCACCCGATAGCAGCCCTTTGATTGGCCGCTTTCTGATGCCTGAAAATTGTATTACTATGTATTCATAAAAGTAAGTAAAAAGGGGAAAGGAAGGAGGGAGTGATCAAAGCATACACACACACACTTACCCCGATTGAGCAACAGAGCCACCAGGCATTGACATGTGGACCGAGCCAATTGATGATTCGCATAACCGAAACCGTCTGGGACTTCATTCGACGTCTGCTCAGTCTGATCGGGAGGGGATGTGAATGACTCGATAGTGAGCACATCATTCGGATCTGAGGATGATTGCGCTTTCCGACCGGGTCGGTTTGCTGAAGTGTCCGGTGAGGCGAAACACGGTGCAGCCAGGCCCGGATTGCGCGATACGGTATTACTACCACTATTACACGCGATCCCGTCCACTTTTGGATTCGACTGATAAATTGGTCTCGAGTCGTCGATCAGATCGCGCGCGGAGACCGCTGGATGTCGACGACACACGGCAGTACCGAATCGGCAGCCAATAACACCCAGGAAGACAATAGCGATTGCCTAGAGAGAGAAAAAGATCGTAGTCGGAAGAAAATCCATTCGAACTGAAACGTGTTAAGCACTTTAAAATAAGTTGGCAACTAAATGAGCGGTTTTACACAATTAAATGGAGCTATTCTGTACAGAAACCCGAGGCGTAAAACAGAATTTGGAATCTGAGNGAATCTGAGTTTGTTATATTAATCTAATAAGAAAGAAGAACGATCACATGAAAGGAAAAAAATAAACCAGAAGATCATGTACAACTACGGTTTGAGAAATAGCAAGGGAACCGTATGCCTCCGAGAGCCTCACTAGAGCCGACGGTGGGTGCCTCGGGTCGCCGGCAGGTAACCCTTCCCTTGCACCTCACGAACTGCTCCTACATGAACAAGCGTCTCAAAAAGTCTGCTCTGAGGAAGCCCTACTCATTGCCTTCTCGTGATGGAGCTGTTTTCCCACCAAAGTGAGAGGACGAATAGCCGACATCCGGGGATATAACCGGGTTGGTGGGCAATTCATCTAGGAGAGTTGGCTAAAAACCCTGATTCCAAACCAAACATGAGGAGGCGTATGAACCACACATACACACCTTCCTGGTTGTGCCAGTGGTCAGCGGTTAGATTGGGAATCGAGGTGTACTGGGCACCTTGGACGTTTGACCCCGTCTAAAGGGCGTATGATCCCATGAATTGGACACCAGCCCCCAATGGATTGCGGTTTTTGTACACCGCCCAGCTGCCTTGCGGGTCAGGACTTGGCTAGCCGAAGGCTCCGGTTGTGGATTCCTCAAGAAAATTCATCTGCCTTGGCCTGGGTGGGCAACCTAGCAGTATCATCACGCCCTTGAACAAATCATGGACCTTTTTCTGTTTATAAAGTTTATTGTACCGTGGTTTGTTGGGCACAGTTTCAACTCAGACGTATGTGAAAAAAGTATTAAAATAAAATATCAGCACTGGAGAGAGAGAGAGAGAGATAAAAGACGCCAATTGGTTGGTCTGTCACATCATTCTCTCTACTAAGCTGATAAGTCTATATCGCGCACTGAGCTGCCAAAAAGGGTTTCAGTTACCGTAATGGGATCAGAGAAAAGATAAAATCCCAACAAGCATCTAGCAATTCCAGGTAACATATTGACATTTTCGGAATAGAATGATAAGAAAACCCGAGAAATAAGGTTGCGTACCAATCTCAGAGCGCGCGCGCGCACGTTCTGGATTGGGCAATTGCGAACAAACTGGTGCTGTGAATCAAGCGGGTTCAGGTTCGTTGCACAAGTGATCGCGGACGAGTAATCGCAGTACCTGAAAGCGTAATGAATTTTGCTCGGCGAAGTACTCTTATGAAACGTTTATCACGGGAGCACCCTTATTCCCTAATGAGTTACACTTGAATGCGCTCGCGGCTTAGAGGTACAATCGCGAATAAAACAGTCCATCCGGACTGGGGACGGTGCTGCTAACCGCACTACTGAATATCACTCTGGTGTCAAGTTTACGGAACAAACTGGAGACAATAAATTATCACTGCAACCGTAGCAAAGAAGAAGTGAGAAACCATGGCGCTTCGATCTAGATCTATTTCACCTCGTGATTGCAAGAAGACAAGAGTCGCACATAGGGCTCGGCAAAATTGGAGGCACTTAGTATAGCAATCAGCACGAACACGTAGAAAGAAACGTGTAGAAATGAAGCGTTTGTGCGTGGTCGGAAGAGCGAGGTGTGCAATAGTAAAAAGGAAACAATTCCAGTGAGCACCTGTAAAACCCGTAGAAGAGATTGTGGATAGAATACAAACCGGAATAAAATAGTGGCGGTGGTAAGAAGTTAGCGTAGATGTGAGAAATCTGGACATCAGTAGTTCATTTCACCTTGCAGCTTCTAACAGGTTATAGCGCTTGACGAAGTGCATTATACACAAGGGGCACATTGCTCACAAAACAAATCATTCAGAGCATTACATATTGTATCAGATCATCGAGTGGAGGTAGTTTCGTGGTGACAGTGAACGCGCGCGCGCGCGCGCGAGAGAGAGAGAGAGAGAGAGAGAGAGAGAGAGGACACAGGGTGGTGGCACCTGAATCGGTGACCAGCAGAAACAATAAAATTCACTGGACAGCAACAGGGAACGAAGCCCCGCCCTAGTATGAGTTCACCTAGATACCATTTTATGAAAATGAGCATGAGCCACTATGCGAAGAGAATTATGCTCATTTTAAACTAACCAACAATTTATTTTGTGCCAGAAAGAAAACAATTAGCTGACCAGGAGTGATTAAATGAAGTAAATATAACTTTCACCAGAGCACGGGATGTGTTAAACTGCACTACAGCGTGACCCGAATGTGCGTGTGTACATAGCTGGTGAGATCAACACGAATTTACCACACCCTGGTGATCATGAAAATATCGAGGGAAACTGGTATCCTGAAATTTCAAAAGTCCCTCACCTTCGGATAAATCTCACTTGTTGAATAACTTGGTGGATTTACATTGTTCCACCTCCTGTAAAGGTACACGTTTAAGGTTTTTTGATGTGTTTGTAAACTTCCGAAGTCAGTTCCTGTGAAACTCTACGGAGGGGGAAACTTTCGGTGAACCTAATGAATTTACGTCCTGTTATGTATATTCACAAGACTGAGGGGAATTAATCGTTGAAAAATCAACAAGGATAGGGGTAAATAGGACTGTACAGAACGAAACATCTGTCTGTTACAGTTGGGTTGATAATTTAATGAAATACTCGTGCTCCGTGGTCAAACATCTCAACAGTCTCTTTGCCAGTTCTACAGTTACAATAATAAATCCTTTAATCCGATCCCAGATATTATGATAATGCAGAACAGAGCAAATGTTAGCGGAGCTCACAGAACTCACGAATGAGCATGTCCTAAAATTTCATATAACGTCCGTGTGATCTACGGGGTCACAGTAGTTTGTTTCACTACCGATTTACCACTCAACACAAACAGATGTGTCCAGTCAAGAGTTTCAGCCCTATCGAGGTTTTTGTTTGATTTGAAAGTCAAATTTCCTAAGAAGATTACTAATTATTTTACGCTGAATTTGATCGAGCGCAGAGTAAAAATGGAGCGTGAACTGAATGTCTAGAAGGTACAGAACTGCTACCGCGACCCGGTTGAATCTTATCAGCACAGTGAATCCATCAAGCCGATCGGGGATCGATCCCGAGACTGCACAGATGGAACGTAGACCATCGGGTAGCCGATCAGACCGCTTTTCATTTACCTATACACGATATAGCACAAGCCATCTTTGCAAGCTTGCCGCGGGCAACACACTGCGCATCTCCGTACTAGCCTCCCGGGTTATGACTCAGTTGAAAACATTCCGAACTTTAAAGCCTTCCCCCGTGCGGCTCATATGAGCCTTGTCTGAAAAAGTTTCACTTATGCAAAGCGTTGAGTGTTGCTTGAAATCAGGCGAACTAGTTAGTGCTCTTGTCAACAATGCTCAGAGGTTGAAACTCCAGAGAGAGAATTACTTGCAGTCATGGAAAGAAAATCAAACGCGGTCAGCCACGATTGATCGGATGGAATTGACCTAATCAATATTCGAAAGAGATTACACTAAAATAAGAGTGCTTCTCTTCGGAGAGTAGAATCAATTTATTATCTAAATAGAACGGTGTGCGTATGAAATTAATAGATAAATCAGAGCACTCTTGTGAAACAAGTTGTTGAAATGAGAGAAAATGAATGAAGTACAGAATTAGTTCCAAATTGCAATGGGGATTGTGCTCCGAGCACTGGATCCGTATCGGTTCGATTAGCCGGGAAGAAAAAGAAACCGAAATTTTTGAGTGACCACATTTGACATCCAAATCAAAATGTGCATTCAGTTGTGGAATCTCAGAACGGAAACATCTTTTCGCACCTGAATGATTGGTTGGAATGACGGAAAGTACACGTTCTACTGTGTTTGGTTGTTTCAGTTGGATCGGAATGCGTTTTCAATAAGACTGTCGGTAAATCCATTAACTATTCTCTTTTCGTAGCTACACTTCTGCGCTCCTTCATTTAAGCTGATTATATCTCGGCATACATTATCCTCATCATTGTACAGCGTAATACAGTGAGGCGAACTTCACTGATCGCTACCAAACTCATAATGCATACGAGGTAAGTGAGAATGTGTAAAGTGGATAAAGATGGGGCGTATTCCTAGGGACGGAAACAGAAAGCGAACGTTCATGGTCAATACACAGAGAGCACAGTCCAACTGCGCATACATACTATTTCAAGCATTCTGGTCTGATATATATATATATATATATAAAATTGAAAATGTGTCACTTTCGGTGGTTAGACAGTTTTATACTCTACCTCCAGGGTCCATATCACACGCATCTTATTGTGAAATGGGATGTGAGCTAATGTAACGCTTGGCAGCCGTGCCAGTAATATTGTACCGTTGACGCTTGGACCTTTTTGGTTGATAGCTTTACCTTGCAGGTTCATCTTTAACTCCTGACACACGGAGGATCTGTCTGCCAGTGTTTCCTCACCACCCCGTGTTCCAGTCGAATTCTCCGGGACACCCTCAAAGCCTGTTATAGTCTCGAGCTATGATAGCACGAGACCAGGGACATTTTGTCATGCATTTCTGTTCACTCCGCTGCGCTGCGTGAGCCCGGAGTGCGTTCACATTACACTAGCAGCAAGTATGTATTCGTAACCTCCTCCTCTTCAATCGCTTTGTTTCACTCGCGTATTTAGTGACCGTAATTTAGAGCCAACAACTGGAAAAATCAACGCTTTCTGCCGTACGTTCTTGAATGTGGGATTAGGGAAGAGATTGCAACAATCTACACATCTGAAACCGATTTGTCGAATCCCGAATCACACAGACCGTAACGTGGCACGAATTTCAACACAAGAGTGTATCACTGGTTGAAAGATGAACCTAGTGAATGAAGGAATCCGGTGTATCCGCATTTCAACATCGCCGAGACTAGTAGCACAACAATAAAGATCGGATCTATAAGGTTGCCAATGCGATCAGTGCGCTGGATGTGTCACACAGACACACATGCACAGCACATGAATCAATACAAAGGAGTTGAATGGGGAAAAAATACAGGTGATAGATATGATGAGGTATTTCCACCTGGGGAGAAGGTGAGTGGGATTAGTAGGATCAAATGCAACAAAGCAAATGTGGCGATTGCATACATGTGGGTGTGCAACTGTCTAGCCCAGATCGATCGAAGTCAGAACTGTTCATTCTTTTGAGTCAGAGCGGCTTATCACTATTACTGTTAGACGTGCTATAGAGCGAACTCCAGACCTATTATTATACTAAATGATTAGTCGGTAAGAAAAATATTGCGGAAACAGGATCTTACCACAGTAACGAGTTTGAAATCATAACATACATTTGAGCAAATCAGGGTCTTTATGAGCCTTACCGGAGAAAGACTGGAACATTTGAGCAGGCAAGGAATAGTGCAAGAGATAGTTTGAAATTAGCAAGCAGATGGCAGGAAGGCCAAACACAAGGTAGGCGAAAAATGATCATTTTGAGTATAAAAAAGTGAATTGCGATTCACCCGTACGTAAGAATTAAGCGCAGATAGTGAGAAGTGATGGCAACCGATAGAAACAAACACACAACGGTGCTATTTTGCAGTAAGAGTGTGGTATATATATATATATACATATATGGGGCAGTGAAAAGCCAACTTGTTGCAAAAGAACCGTCTTTTTGGTGCAATAAGACTATCATTGGCCTCAAACCGGTCAATATATCATGTGTTGTGCATCTTCATTGTCGAAGCCTCATTTAGTAACATCCCATAGTTATAGGATGACATCCAAAGACATCTCTGGATTAAAAATCTCGACTGGCAGAGAGTATAAAACTTTCAGGACAAGAGTTACCAACAGGCCCAGGGATGTGGTGGTAGTATGCTTAACCATGTATAATTCGTCCCAAGACGGTGTGGTACAACCAATCGCACAATGATGCCAAAATGCATCGTGGGCTCTAAAAGCTAATTCAACACTATGTGGCTTATAATGTTCGGGGGAAGGCTCGCATTCCGCAATTTTGCAAGGTAATCTTGTACTTTTGTATTAATACTAGGCTCGT